AATAAAGTTTATTTTTACATTATATTTTTGTTGAGAGCCGACCAAACAGTAAGTACTAAAGGAAAATTGTTTAAATTACATTACTCGTACTTTAAGGGTAAGTAAAACTAGAGTAATAATATAAATTTATTTAGCAAAAAAGTCAACATTAGCATACCTACATTGAATTAATTTTGCAGTATGTATACACGAAAGAACAGACACACACACCGGCACTCCTATGCAGTAAAACAATAATTAAAACCGATACACTACTAACAAGTATTTGCTAAACAGGACTCCGCTCAGCATATTGCTGCAGCCGAAGCTACAGCGCCGATTTTCAGAGGAGCCTTTAGGGTAAATAAAATAGATAATAAACAAAATTACAGAAAATAATAATAGTTATGGATCGACTTATAAAGCGACAATCCGAACAAAAATCTGAATATAAAATCACAATTTAACATTTTATAATAAAAATGATCCATACTACTTACATTCATATACGTAGTAGTCCATTTCCCAAATTCACAATTATGGACAACAAAAACACAAGACCTGCAGTTACACACTTTATTACATTTAACCCGCATATTTGCATATTACCCGCAACTGGTACACAATCGAACTGATAATTTCCTAGTGTAGGTAGTAAACGTCTTTCATTGCATCTAGGCATAGTCAGGGATACGAATACACAAAATGACAATGACAACAATGAATATATAAAACTGAGAAAATGTAATTAAACTGTATAATCTACACATATAAATAAAATTGGAGTGCCTGTCCGTAACATTGAAATAACCACTTTTTACCACATGAATACAAATAAGGTACACACACCAAAACAAAATTTTTATCAAATTTTTTTTTATCTGTCTGTCCGTTTGTTCCGGCCAATCTCTTTATGCACTCTATCTCCCACTAGTACCTTCTGCCCTCCCCTCTCCCAACGTATACCGCAGAAACACTTTTATATTCCTCCATTCTATATTTTATTCTATACGAGTATTGGTTCAAATTCAAATTCAGAATATTTTTATTCATGTAGGTAACTTGTCATTACTAAATTTAGAATAAGTTTCTTTAGTGTTTTTTACATTATCTATGTCAATGGGATAGTTATATACCTCATAACAAAAGTTAAAATTGTAATTAAGTACACGCATTGTAGTCATTCAAGAAGTCGTTTATTTTATAACTAGCTGTACCCGCGACTTCGTGCTAATGTTTCTAAAATAAAAGTAGCCTAAGTTACTACTTATTACATTAGCTACCTGGCAAAAAAAGTCCCGTCAAAAAGGCCCAGCCATTTCAGAGATTAGCCGGAACAAACAGACAGACAAACAACAATTTAAAAATAAAGAATCGGTTTAGTAATTTTGGCGTGTAAGCGAGACAAACAGACAGACAGAGTTACTAAAACTTTTGTAATATTAGTAAAATATTTAATAAACTAACCCAAAGAAGATAAAGAAAAAAGTGTAGCTTCAAAAATGACGAATTTACATAAAAACTTTCATCACCTATTTTATTTTACCCCCTTAAGGGTAATTTTTTACAAACTTTGAATATCATATTTAATTATAGTCAATTAACCGCTCCAAAAATAAATTTCAAGCGTCTAGCTTCAAAAATGACGATTCCTCCATACAATCTTTCATTCCCCCTTTCAAGCCCTTGCTACTCTTTTTTCGCATTAAAAAGTAGCCATGTCCTTTCTAGGGGTCTAAACTATCTGTGTACCAAATTTCATTTAATCTGTAGTTTTTCCGTGAAAGCGAGACAGACTGAGTTACTTTCGCATTTTTAATATTAGTAAGGATTACAAACAGACACTCCGATTTTATTTATATGTAGGTATGTATCAGTGGCACTCCGTGAGGAAGTAGCCATTATTATTGCTAAAAGTTGCATATAGATGGCGTGATTGGTATCGATGGAATTCTTCATAGTTTTGCAAACGTTTTAAAAAACAAAACTGTGTTTTGAAAAATGTTTAATCAATTTTTAAAAAGTTATACATATACATGATAAAATGAAATAATGCGTTTAGAAAAGTAATTTTCATATATTTACTCATTTTGTTATTTTCCAGTACTTAATTACACTTTAATCAGTGCTAATACGGAGTTTAATGTTTTCAAAATGCTTTCATAGACGGCATTGTTTTCATTTGTATAGTCCTAATTAAATGTTTCTTTTATATTTTCCAATAATAAGCACTTAATATATTATTATTATAAATTAAACATATAAAAAAAATTAAGTATATTAAAAACAGCCGAACAAGCAAGCAATATTATTTCCAATAATACCTATGTAGGAAATGTTGCCATATTAAAAATAAATTACATGTCAAGTAAGAAAGCAATGAACTGGGGATGAGAAGAAATTCCAAGTTATTATATTATGTGTAACCAACTGCAAATAAGTTTATGATTTTTATTATATTGATTCATCAACAAGTCCAGCAATATTTTGTGTACCAGGAATTAATTATGAAATGATTTTAATGCAATAATTGTTTTGATATTGATTTATTTGGAATATAATATAAAAATAATAGAAGTGTTTGAAGTTTTAGTGGTATAACAGACAAGCAGTGACAAAATTTTTATTGAAAATTATTAACAATTGTTTATTCTGTGATTAATAAATTATTAAAAAGTATTTTGTTACCTGAAATAAAAATTTTATGATCTTCAAGTGTTGTGTTCATGCAATGTTAGTTTCACCTCATTCGATTTAAAATGTCAGGAATAATTTACTGCATGATGATTTTGTATTAGATGGTAATCATATATATTTTTTAATGCAATGTGTATAATAATTCCCATTTTCATCAAAAAACTTTGTGTTGATCTATATTTCTCTCTATATATAATATTTCTCTGTCTATAGACTTTGGTCGTGGAATACTAATAAACAAAATCTAGAGACTGTAGTATATCACAGCATCCCAGAACCTTGTATTTAAGTCATATAAGGACTAAAAAAGTAGCATTAGGTAGGTACCTAATGCTACTTTTTTAATCAATTAATTAATTTGATCTCAATTATCATAACGATGATTATGTTGAGAATGCTGCCAATGATGAATTTTATGGTGGTCATAAATAAATACCACCGTCACCGTCGTTAACAGTCATTATTGATCTCATCATCGTTAAGGAGCAATTGCTCCTTAACCGATAGCCCGATTTTAGTGCAGACGCGTTACGACATATCTTCGTCAGGAGAAAAAAAGTAGGCATGGAATAAAGTAACTATAACATAGTACTACATTAGCCGTGTCTGCAGAGCATCAGCGAACGACATTATACCTACATTGAATATTCGATTGTACCCAATCAGGAGTTCGACACAGTTATATATCTATCATGTACGTATCTTTGCAAAACAGATGTCATGTAGACCGAATTCCCTGCCATCTATTTTCATGCTTTATTACTAATCACCCACTAGTAATCCGAACTGCTTCAGATATAGCGACATCTAGCGCCTACGGCGGCGAAATAAAATAGCCCGAGTTAGGAAGGAACCATTTTCTTGTATGGGATGGGGTATCTGTATGTAATATTATATTATCTGTGGTATGTATGTATAGAGTGTGCATTTAAAAAACGAAAATACCAACTTTAAAATTTTTATTTTAGGAAAAAATGTTACTAACTAAATAAAATAACCTTTAAATAATTTATAAATTTCAATGAAAATCTGAACATTGAACACAAATGTACATAATTTATAATAATTACTTAAAAGTAAAAAAGGAAAGCAGTAAAAATATTTTGAATTAAGATATGAAGAACGTATTGGTATAATTATAAAATATACCAATCAATCAAAAATATGATATAAGAATTGGAAATCAATTTTTAAATAAAGTTGTCGAGACAATCATCAACTACAGCCCGCTCGCGCGATGTGAGCCCGCGTGACAGGTTGATGTGAGAAGTAGCGAGAGGCCCCCGAGACGTATAGGCCCAACGCGGTGCATGCGCCTGAGCGCGCGGTATTACTTACAACATTACTTTATTTTTCTATAAAATAAAAGATATTTTCTAAAATAAAAGTAGCCTAAGTTACTCCTACTAGGACTAGCTACCTGACAAAAAAAGTCCCGTTAAAATTAGTTCAGCCATTTCAGAGATTAGCCGGAACAAACACAACGACAGACAGATAGACAGACAAAAATTTTAAAAAGTGGTTTTTTGGTTTGGGTAGGTACATACATGTACCTACTTATGTTCATATGCATGCAGTCAAAAACGGTTATTTCAATATTACAAACAGACACTCCAATTTTACATTTGTATAGATTGTATAGATGTATAGATAAGCTTAAGCGCAAAGTGTACTTTTTACATGTATCCTAAATTTCCCTTCATTTAAATTCAAAACATTATCAGGTAATTTATTATAAAATCGTATACAATGTCCCATGAAAGATGTACTTACTTTTTTGAGACGAAAACAAGGCATATTTAATTTATTTTTATTCCTTGTATTAAAACCGTGTAAGTGACTAATCTGCGGTTAATGTTGGTTTTTCATAAGGAATGTATGAGATTTTATAATTAATTTTTTAATATTTGAGTAAATAAACTACTAAGAATATGATTATGGGTGATGTGGATGACCTATGAGGACTACCAAATAGTATTTTATCATGTACCAACGATTACCTGACAGAACCAGCGTAGTTGTGGGATACCCTTAAATAATTTAAACTAATGTTGTGTGTATTATTGTTCAGTTCAGAATTGACTAGTATATATCAAACGAACATGTAGATAAAGCTCGAAGACTTTACTAGACAAGATTGCCAATAACATTAGTATTACGGCTGGCAACGGCAGTGAAATAGGGTAATATAAGTAAAATTACTTACCAAACTTATAGTGATGTATTTAGTGGTAGAATGTATGACACAATGTAGCAAAACAATATAATAAAAATATATATGTCAAATTGTAAATAAAAAATATATGGTTTAAAAATAGAAATATCTATAAAAAGAGGTCTGTCGCCAGCATGGCACGCCCCGGTGCAGAGCACCAATCTACAGTGGCGACTGTGCGCAGTTTTCTTGGGTCCATTTTGCGCACTGGTCTTTTCAAGATCCCCATGCTTCCCCGGATCTCCACCACCCTGACCACTCCATCAGGACCGGTGAATATCTTAGAAATACGGCCTTTGGGCCAGGTTCCTCGCGGAAGATTTGGATCCGCCACCAGAACTGGATCTCCCACTTTGAATTCGGCTTGCGTCGATCCAGCCTTTCGTGGAATCAACGTGGGTAGGTATTCATGAAGCCACCTGGCCCAAAACAGCTTCGCTAACCGCAGTACCTTCCTGTGGTCTAAGCGACAGCAAAGGTCTGCATCGGTGCGGGGACGGACCAACTCGGTTGATGGTGTGCCCAATAAAAAATGGAAGGGTGTGAGGGCCTGTAGTGTCTCCGGCTCTACTGGTACGTGTGTCAGCGGGCGAGAATTGACTACTGCTTCCGCTTCCAGAAGTAGGGTACTGAATACTTCCTCTCTTGGAGCTTGTTCTTTCAGAGTTACGGAAAGCGCAGACTTTATTGATCGCACTAAGCGTTTCTACGCACCTCCCATTGATGGTGCCGCTGGACAAATGAAGACCCACTCTATTTTATAGTTGGCCGCGAAGTCGAAAACGTCTGTGAGTTGGTTGACTGCGCCGACAAAAGCCGTGCCGTTATCTGAGATGATTCTCGCTGGACATCCTCTACGGGCAATAAATCTTCTTAGGGCCATGATAGCTGCATCTGCGGAAAAGCTTCTTACGATCTCCAAATGAATGGCTCTGATGGTAAGGCATGTGAATAGAGCTACCCAGCGTTTTTCTCGTCTGCGCACAACGGCAACTTCGACTGGGCCGAAGTAATCAAGACCGCAGAAAGAAAATGCGCGCTGATGATGGTATAACCTATCTTTAGAAAGATCACCAAATGGAGGCGTAGATGGGAGAAGCTTCCTAATCCTACAGAAACTGCATTGTTTGGCAACAGACCTGACACTTGGGCGTAAAGCTATTATATAAAATTTGCCGCGCAGGAAGTTAACGACGGTCTCGATATTACCATGACCAAATTTCCGATGATAGTGATCGAGAAGGAGTTTTACAATTGGATGTCGACCGTCTAAAACAATAGAGTTAATGTCCTGTGCGGGAGCACCTAATACAGCACGAATTCTTCCATTTAAACGGATTAAACCGTCTTCTCCCAACATCAACACAAGACCTCTAAGCCTCCCTTGATTAGTTGGGGGAAGACCCGCGGTAAGACTCAAGAATTCGTGTTTAAACGATTCCAATTGAGTGTATAAAAATAGGTGCCTCTCGGCCTCCAAGATTTCTGCGGCCGAAAGAGGTTTCAAAACTTTGGAGGAGACCTTGGAGGCAGCACCCTTTAATTTTGAATTTGGAGTTTTTTTCAAAGGCGACCGAAATATTTTAGCACAATGATGTGCACGGGCGGTTGCTCTAACCAACCGAACCCAGCGACCGAAATGATCGTGATTTGCTACGATCGGAGATGGCATTTCCGGATGTTCGGTTAGCAAAAATGTTAACGCGTGTTCGGGTTTTAGTTCCTCAATTACTAGTGGAGGAATGACCGCAGGCTCGCGAGGCCATTCTTCTGGTGGAGACAAAAGAAAATCTGGGCCGATATACCATCGAGAGGAAGAGGAAAGAGAGTATAGACCGCCTGTAGCATCATCTGCTACATTTAAGGCCGATGGAACATAACGCCAATTGGCAACGTTTGTAGTCTCTAATATTTCTCCTACACGGTGAGCAACAAACGGCTTAAACGTTCGGGCATCGCTACGCGATCACTTTAAAACCGTTGAGGTATCTGTCTAGAAGAAACTTTTTCTTTCGGGGATGGTATACTCCGAAGTGAACTCTGGATAATGCTAATTTATAACTGTTCGGAATTGAGATGATATCAGGTGGCCAGAGTTTTTGTGGTGTTATGTGATAAAATGTCAACATTGAAATCACCACACACTATAATTTTTTTGTTAATATTAAATACTCTTTTTAAAATATCCTCCATTACCTCTTCAAATAAATTATAATCACTATTTGGAGGTCTATATACACACATAACTATATAATTTTCTAGTTCCACACAGGAAATTTCAATACAACACTCAACGGAAAGATTGCCAATATCACTACGTTCTTTTACTTTTATATTATTTTTCACCAATATCATGGAACCTCCTCTATTTACTATTTTTCTATTAAAGCAGCTGACAATATTATAATTATTTAAGCTTAACATCATATTGCTCACTTTGAGCCAATGTTCAGTTAAACATAGAACATCTATATTATTTTTTTCTAAAAACAATTGAATAATTAATTCACAGCCGAGAAAACTTTGTATGTTCTGGTGAACAATTTTCAATTCTGATAGCTTTCCCTTTGTCTTTTTCAGCAGTTTAAATCTGCAGTCATATTTAAATTATTGTAAATAAAATGATTCTTGCTAGAATCCATATTTATGTCAATATGTTCAGTATGTTTAGTATTAGCATTAGTACAAGTACTACTAATTGGATTAGTGCAACCCATTATAATTCTTATAATGGGGTCATTTATATTATAAGCTAGTAAACTAGCTATATTTCTTATTTGTTTTTTAGGCAGATAAAATCTATCTCCAGTCATACAAAAGTTTGTAACAAATTTGTTACTATCAAAAAATAAAAAGTCATTATGACGACAAGTCATATTATAAATTAAATTATTAATATAATATATGAACTTATTTTGTTCAATAGTCAGAGAATGACAGTAAGGAAATGCACATAAAATTATTTTACCTATGCCCAGCTCAGCAATATTAAGCAAAGAGTTTACAAGTTTAATGACATGACTTTTTTTTACATATAAACAGTTGCCTAAAGCAATGACTAATGTGGTTAACTTATCATACCTACCATTAACCACCTTATTTAAAATATTAGGCAATGAAGCACCAGGTAGACAATTATTTATAACATGTTGAGATAAACTTTCTGATAATGAACGGCCCAAACCCTTACCATATTCATCTGAATAAATAATTGTCCTTCGTACTGGTGCAACATTACAATTATCAGTTTTTAAAGACAAGTTAGAATTGAGTAAATTTGAACAAGGAGTGATTGACTCAGTCAAGACTGATGTGATTGACTTATTGTTATTTCCATTAGGGCTATATTGAAATCAGTTTCAAACCTACTTAAAGGAAGACGTTGGGTGGTTTCATTTTAAATAGCCAAAGCCCGCTCATCGTTTATGCTGTGGAAGTCCTTTTTTATAATTTGAATTGAATCGAGATAATATTTTTTGTGGAATACAGGCCACTTATTTGGTTATAACTATTTTATATGTTTTATATTTCGAATACCAAAATTATCTTCTAAATTGTCACTACTATCTATTGTTCTTTTTCGGTTTCCCTTCCTGGCCCTAGTTAGTAGTGTTTCTTTATAATATTAACATATACAATATATATATATATCCTACAACTCCCTGGTTTCCTTTATCGCCCACATATTTTGGTCCTTCTCGTTTTGAATTCATCGACATATTTTTTTTCTAAATTTTAATTATCTAAATTACAACATGATCACAAGATCGAAGGCGGCGATGAGGGAATGCCAGGCTGAGGGCCTGGGAGGGTTTCGTAGAAGCATTGTGGAACCTAGTGCTATGAGTTGTGAAAGTGTTGTGCCAAGACATTCAGCGGAGTCGGTGCGGGAAGCGCTCTCAGTGCCATTACCGTCCGATCAAGAATTTGACCTGCCTGAATCGTTTGCTCATCGCGAAGAGTTTGGGATTCTGAATGATGCAGCACTTGTATCGTCGTCGAGTGGTAGGCTAGCAGGAGGACCTCCAGCGTCCAAGCTGCAGCAGTTACCTGGCTCGGAGTACGGTCAAGGATGCTATTCAGGGATGCCGGTGAGTGAGTGTCGCGATGGCAATGTCCATCGCAACTTACAACAGGTCCAAACAGTACAGGTGAGTGAACTGTCCCGCTTGGCAGATGCCATTTTTACTCTAGCTAATAAAAATAGTAGGCCTTCACCCGTAGACCTTACCACGTTCAGTGGTAACGTGAATGAGTGGCTACTATATAAAAAAATATATGACGATACGAAGTCGTCCTATACGCCTGCCGAAAATATGGCCAGGCTGCGTAACTCATTACGTGGTATAGCTCGAGAAGCAGTGTCAGTACTTTTACTTACCTCTTCATGTCCTGAGGATGTACTACAAATCCTCGAGCTTCGTTTTGCTCGACCTGAGCAGATTGTTCTATCAGAGATAGCAGCAATTAAAGCTATCCCTAAACTTGGTAGAAACCCTAGTGATATTTTTATTCTATCTACAAAAGTAAAAAGCTGTGTAGAAGTAATGAATTTATTATGTCAACGAGAATACATTTATTCACCGGAATTATTACATAATGTCATTTCCAAATTAACACCTTTATTATATAGCAAGTGGTGTGATTTTGCCACAATTCACTACACACCCGGTCAACCACAACTCGAGTTGCTTGCTGAATTTTTATTGCAGGAGGCTAGTAAACAAGCACGCTTTGGACTGCCGTGTGAGGCAGTTAACATCACGTCTCATGCGGAAAGGACGAGGGCGACATCCATGTCTGCGGCCCCGCGCACGGATTGTGTGCAGGCTTCGTACCGGAATGCACCCTCAAGGCAAACATGGGCAAATACTACCACTGCGTCTGTGCCCCTTCAAATAAATAATAATTTGTCCAAACTCATTTCTTGTGCATTTTGTTCTGGCCCACATAGTATTAAGACTTGTTTTAAATTCATAGCACTCTCAGTTGATGACCGTCTCAGTTGTGTAAAGAAAGAAAAACTCTGTCCGAGATGTCTGAAAAAAGGTAAGCACAGCTGGAAATTTTGTAGAGCTAAACAGTGCGATATTTGTAATCAAAATCATCATAAATTTTTACATGTTGAAAATAAATCGGAAAATTCGTTTTCACATAATACAAATATTGATGCTGTCATTTGTCAGAATGATAATTTGAATTTTTCTTCTGATAAAATAGTTCCGAGTACTTGTAGTAATAATATAATTTCTTTTTCAAATAAACAAATGCAAAGAGATCGGATACTTTTGAAAATTTTACCTGTTATTTTGTATGGTCCGATTTCCAATATTGAAACTTTTGCACTTTTAGATGATGGGTCTTCGGTCTCAATGATCGACGCTGACTTAGCGAAGCAGTTAGGTCTCAGTGGTACGGAAGAGAGTATGAACATTACGATGGTAGTTGGTACACGTAATGTCACCACCAGCTTAGTAGATTTTAATATTAAGGGTAAATACTGCTCGGAGATTCATACCATTAAGAAAGCCCGTACTGTACCTAATTTAAAGTTAGCATCACAATCGGTTGACACTAGTGAGTTAGTTTTAGAACATTTGCATGATCTTGTCGACGTTCTCTCGTATTCTAATGCTAAGCCAAAAGTTCTCATAGGATTGAGCGACTGGCATTTACTGATTGCTAGAGAGAATCGTATAGGTACTCGTTCCCAGCCGGTAGCCACTCGCACGCCTCTGGGGTGGGTACTATACGGATTAGCATCTAAGATTACTGCGCCTGTTCAATTCATTAATCATTGTGTATTTTCTGAGGTAGACAATGACCTTGATATTTTAATTAGGGATTACTATAAGTTAGATTCTATCGGTTTAAAATCACGCGAGCCTTATACCACTTCGGAGTTGAGAGCCATTCGTATTTTGGAAAATACAATAACACGTCTTCCAAATGGTCGATTTGAGGTTGGTTTACCTTGGCGTGAGGATTCAGTAGTTATGCCCAATAGTTATCATCACGCCCTGTCTAGGTTGAATGGCTTAAACAAAGGATTCAAACGGGATCCTAATTATCAATTATTGTACAAACAAAATATTGAGGCTTACGTTGAAAAAGGATATGCTGAGGAATGTGTGGTTGATGACGGTATTCTCTCAAATTCTAGGATTTGGTATTTGCCACATTTCGGTGTGACAAATCCCAATAAACCGGGCAAGTTGAGAATTGTTCACGACGCATCTGCTAAGAGCAGCGGTGTTAGTTTAAACTCGTTACTATTGCCAGGTCCAGACTTACTTCAGTCATTGGTAGGTATCCTTATAAGATTTAGAGAGGGACAAGTAGCTTTGACAGGAGATATTAGAGAAATGTTTCCTCAAATTAAAATTCGTGAAGCCGATCGCAACTGTCAACGCTACTTGTGGCGACCAGATGGACCGGACGGGCAGGTTCGTGAGTTTAGGATGTCGTCTCTTATTTTTGGTGCAGCTTCGTCTCCTTTCACCGCCATTTATGTTAAAAATAAAAACGCTAGAGATTACGAGAAGCTGTTTCCTGAAGCAGCGAGAGCTATCATTGAAGATCATTACATGGACGATTTTCTGGGTAGTGTAGACGATGTTGACGCTGCCGCTTGTCTTGCTAGGGATATTGTAGATGTTCACAGTAAGTGTG